ACAGGAGCAGGAAAAGTGGAGTGCATCAAAAAGTGGAGGGACCTGGTAACATCGCAAGGTCCACAAATAGGGCACCACCCAAACGCCAGCAAGTCCTTTCTCATCGTGAAGCCAGAACATTATGAACGGGCATTGGAGGTTTTTGGCGGAAGTGAGGTCAAAATAACTAAGGATGGCCAAAGACATCTAGGTGCAGTAATTGGCAATACGGACTTCAAGACCGAGTACGTAGCGGGAAAGGTGAATGAGTGGGTTAGTGAAATCCAAGCTCTGTCTGAGATTGCTAACACAAAGCCACATGCGGCCTTTGCAGCTTTCACCCATGGAGTCAAGCATCGCTGGAACTACCTGATGCATACCATCCCTGAGATCGGACCCCTCCTCCTCCCTCTGGAAGAAGCTATCAGTATCAAGTTCATTCCCAAACTAGTGAAACACCCTGACTTAACCCCAGCAGAAAGAGCACTTCTTGCACTTCCACCAAGACTGGGAGGGATGGGACTAACTAATCCAGAGGAGATTGCTGCCACTGAACATCAAAATTCACTTAAGCTCACGGCAGCCCTCACTGACCACATAATAGCCCAGAATGCAACAGGGGAAGTGGATACCAGCGAAGTAAATAAGATTCGTAGGTCCATTACGACAGATCGACAGCACTGCCAAAATGATAAGTTGCAGCAACTATTGCTGCAGGTTCCAGAAAATCTGAAAAAAAAGTAGCTATAGCGCAGGAAGTGGGCGCCTCGAACTGGTTAACTACATTACCGATAAGGGCAAATGGTTTCAGTCTTAATAAACAAGAATTTTCAGATGCCATTGCTCTAAGGTACGGTCGGCCAGTAGAAGGTTTGCCTTCCCAATGCGTGTGTGGCTCTTCCTATGATGGCGATCACGCCATGGTGTGCAAGAAGGGGGCTTCATATGCATGAGGCATGACGAGGTAAGGGATCTCACAGCAAATATGTTGAAGGAAATCTGCCGGGACGTCATGGTAGAACCGACCCTCCTTCCATTGGATGGTGAGATCTTCCAACACAGGACTTCAAACACATCTAACGAAGTCCGTGAGGACGTCAGTGCTCGAGGATTCTGGACGCGGGGACAGCGAGCTTTCTTCGACATCAGGATTTTTTATCCCATGGCCGCATGTCACCGTAACCTAGCTCTCGATGCTGCACATAGGAGGAATGAGAACAAGAGAAGGGCATATGGGGAGAGAATTCAAAATGTTGATCAAGGCAGCTTCACTCCTCTAGTGTTCACAACCTCTGGTGGGATGGGCCCAAGTGCAAGATGTTTCTACGCCAGACTCGCGGAGTTGATCTCCGAACAGAAGCAGCAGTCCAGAAGTTATGTTACAGCCTGGATGAGATGTCGACTGTCTTTCTCTCTCCTTCGGTCGGCTCTACTCTGCCTCAGGGGAACGAGAGCTTCTGCCCCTACTCCGACAACTGCTGCAGATATTGACTATGAGGCTACAGTCACTGAATGCCGCATAGATCTGCGGCTCAACTAATTTAACACAGATAGGATAGCTTCTTATGTATTAGGATATTTAACATTAAGGTAAATAAATGGTGGCGAAGGTGTGGCTATTGGGGGAGGCTGGAGGCCACGTTTTGTTGAAAAAAAAAAAGTAGTAGTAGTAGTAGTAGTAGTAGTGGTAGTAGTAGTAGTAGTGGCAATAGTGGTGGTGTGTGGGAGTGTCTATCCATTCATCTATATGTTGTTTTATCTCTCTCTCTCCAGTCACCCCAGGGAGAGGTGGTGGGGAGGGGGGACAGTTCCCTGGAAGCTGGTATTTACAGTTAAAACAGCTGAGGTGGAAAGTGTGTGTGTGTGTGGGTGGGTGGGTGGGTGTGTGGGTGTGTGTGTGTGGGTGGGTGTGGATGAATGGGTGGATTAGAAGAAAAGAGGATACGAGAAAGGAAGGAGGAAGAGAAGAGGAAGAAGGAGGAAGAGAAGAGGAAGAAGGAGAAAGAGAAGAGGAAGAAGGAGGAAGAGAAGAGGAAGATGTGTCGTGGTTTCCTCGCTTTCTCTACTTTGTTTCCCTCACCTGTCGTTTCCGGCCAGAATCTCTCTCTCTCTCCCTTCAGGGGTGACTCAACACAACACCTATACAATACAGTGACACCAATACGATCTTCTTATAAAAACTCTAAATACTTTTCGACTCGCATGACCTAACTTTGAGAACTTCTTCATCATGACTATACTTTTGGTGACAATGCCCAAGGGAAAGTATATATAAATTAAAAGTACAAGTTGCATAAGTACCTTGTCAATGGCCCCCCAAGATGTATAGATTACTTTGGAAATGCTTCACTTTTGACCAGCTGACAATATTGTAATTAGTTTTTTTTTTTACTAATTGAAAACGTTTGTGTGTAATATACGTATGCATATGTATGTGTAATGTATGTATGTGTATGTATGTATGTGTAATGATGTGTAATGTATGTGTATGTATGTGTAATGTATGTTGATGTATGTATGATGTGTAATGTATGTGTAATGTTATGTGTAATGTATGTATGTGTAATGCATGTA